AAAAAACAAAGAAAAAAACAAGCAAACAGACAAACAAAAAAAAAACCAAAACTCGCTCTGAAGTCATTCCTGTAAGTCCAACTTCCTTTCAACTCTCCTCTCCGGTCCCTCCCCTTTGGTCACAGGGCAGTCTGATAGAGTTAATCTCAATGTGGGTCAGATGCCCCAGGCCTACTGTGGGAGACAGGTGGATTGTATCTGGACTCACCCAGCTTGCTGCCTGTCAAGTCTCTCACTCAGATCTGATGTGTCTGTGTCTGATTCAGTGTGGGGAAGGTGCTTTTATCTCTCTGAGTTTGATGATATTACTTCTAGGTCCCAAGATGGAGGCTGGGTGGAAGTAGGCAGGGCAGTGCAGGTCTCTGCCTGGGCCCAGGACAGAGAAAATGACTCTGGCGTTTCCTCACTGATGGTGGTGGGGCTCCTCCCAAGTTCTCCCTGATCTTCTCTCTCCATGAATCTGGGGCTCCAGGTAATGGTGGGCCGGGTGCAGGCTTTTCTCAGGAGAGTCCCAAGAGCAGCAGATGATCCTGTGCACTGGCAACTTTAATCTTGGTGGTGGGGGGCTGCAGTCACCTCTGGAGGAAAGCCCCAGGTATATGAACCCAAGTCTCCTCTCAGATGGACTTTCACTCACCCACTGGCATACACCCACTCATGCAGGGAGTCTTTATGGACACTTGCTTTTACCGATACTCTCACAGTCTGACCTGTTCCATCACCATAGTTTTGGAGGCTGGGAAGTCCAAGATCAAGGCACCGGTGAATGCAGGGTCAAGTAAGGTAACTTGTTGTTGCACCCTCATATCCCTGAATAGTTTTACAAATTTCTTTGTATTTAATTTCAACTTTCTCCTCAATCTCACTGAGCAATTTTATAATCAACCCTTGAATTCTATCTCTGAAATTTCAAAAATTTCATTCTGGTTAAGGTCCATTGCTGAAGAGTTAGTGTGGTCTTTTGAGGGTACTGAAGAACTCCATTTTTTTCATATAGTTAGAAATTATTTTCCTGGTTTCTTCTTATTTGAGGTTGGTGAGGGGCTGGTGTAGGCACTGTAGGGATTCCGTAGTTATACAAAGGGCAAACAAAAAACAAGAAATCTTAGAGGACAGTCCCCTAGTATTTCAGGCTTCCCCTCCTAAATTAGTGTTCTAGGAACCAACTGGTATCAATGTGCCAGCTAGCATTGTTATGAGAGGCTGCATCCAGTTCTAGTGAATTTATTTTTTTCACTAGAACTGAATGCAGCCTCTCATAACAACGAGATTCTTTCAACAGGTTTGCCCATTTCATGATAAGTTTTCAGCAGGTTTGCCCATTTCATGATTTACATAAACCACCTGCCCACATCACATTGAGTGTTCTGCAGTTTTTACCCAGAACAACATGACCCACATGCTCCATACTCTCTATTCACCTGATCTCATCCAAAGTGACTTTTTCTTTCCCTGGATGAAAAAAGTCCTCAAAGGGAAACATTTTGCCAATGTGGAAAAGATGAAACAAAAGATGGCAGAAGCACTATAAGGCATTAAAATTGATGAGTTAAAAAACTATTCTGAAGCTGAGCTCGGTGGCTCAGCCTGTAATCCTACACTTTGGGAGGCCGAAACAAGAGGATTGCCTGAGCCCACAAGTTCGAGACCAGCCTGGGCAACATGGTGAGACCTCATCTCTACAATAAATTACAAAATTAACTGGGCATGGTGGTGTTCACCTGTAGTTCCAGCTACTTGGAAGGCTGAGGTAGAAGGATTAAATGAGCCCAGCAGGTCAAGGCTGTGGTGCTTGTAAGTGTGCCACTGTACTCCATCCTGGGGAATGGAGTAAGACTCCAACTCAAAAAAAAAAAAAAAAAGAATTGATTTGAGATGGTTCATACCCTCAACGATGAAAGCTAAAACTATAAACCTACCATAAGAATATATAGCAAGTCGGGCTTGGTGGCTCAGCCTGTAATCCCGCGCCTTTGGGAGGCTGAGGTGAGTGGATTGCCTGAGCCCGCAGGTTCGAGACCCGCCTGGCAGCGAGACCTCATCTCTACAATAAATCAAAAAATCAGCTGGGCGTGGTAGCGCATGCCTGTAATTCAGGCTACTCGGAAGGCTGAGGTGGAAGGATCGCCGGAGCCCAGTAGGTCGAGGCTGCAGTGGCCGGGAGCGGCTATTGCACTCCAGTCTGGCGACAGAGTGAGACTCCAACTCAAAAAAAAAAAAAAAAAGAATATATAGCAAAATAACTTTAGGACATTGAGGTAGGCAAAGATCTCTTAGGTTTCTACATAGAAAAAAAAATTAAAAATGATGAATTGAACTTCAAATAAAAATAAATAAGAGTAAAATATTCTGCTTATCTTAAGACACTATTAAGTAAATGAATAGGCAGGCTACATGCTGGGTGATGATATCTACATTACAGATATCTGACAAAAAGACTTGTATATGGAATGTGTAAAAAGCTCCTACAGTACCATAATAAAAAGACAAATATCCAAATAAAATGGCTTATAACTCTTGAAAAAAACACCTCATAAGGAAAGATATGAATGACTGGTGAAAACATGCCAAACTGCTCAAAATTATTAGACATCAGATGAATGATAACTGGAGCCACAATAAGATACTACTACACATATTAGAATGCTTAACATTAAAAAGACTGACAACACCAAATACTGGAGAGGAAGTGGAATAGCCACAACTCTTGTACATCACTGGTAGGAATATAAAGTGGTACAGTCACTTTCAAGAACTATTTGTCTGCTTTTTATAAAATGGAACATACCCTTGTCCTATGACAATCAACACCACAGCTCAGGAGATCCGAAACATATCCACAGAAGGATTTGTGCCAGAATGTTCATAGCAACTATATTCATGGCAGCAGAAACCAGGAACAGCCCAAGTGTCCATTAGCAGGAGAATGAGCATGTAAATTATGATGTAATTACACAATGGAGTACTACTAAGCTATGAGAAGAACAGATTACTAATGTATGCATGCATATGAATAAATCTCAAAAAACTTGCTGAGTGAAAGAAGACAGACACAAAAGTAAGTATGAGGGGGATCAAAAAAACCCTGGAATTTATTTATTAAAACTTGCGTACTTATTCTTACATGTTTAAACTTCAGCCACCTTCAAAGTATTCTCTGTTTGATGCACTACACCTGTTCATTTGCTTTTTCCACTGCTCAAAACAGTTTTTGAACTCGTCAATTTTGATGCCTTCTAGTGCTTCTACTATTTTTTGTTTCACCTCTTCTACATCAGCAAAACATTTCCTTCTCAGGACTTTTTTCATCCAGGGAAACCAAAAAAAAACCCAGTTGCTCAGGGCGAGATTGGGTGAATAGGGAGAATGGGGCACGGAGTCATGCCATTTTGGGTCAAAAACTGCTAAACACTCAGCACAGTGGTGGCAGATTACTCGTGTAAATCACCTATCATGAAACAGAGCAAAACGGTTGAAAGAACCTCCATAAATAAGTCACTGGAGCCAAATACAGCCTCTCCCAATAACACTTGCTGGTACAATGATGCTGATAGGTTCCTAGACACTCACCTGATGGGAGAAGCCTGTACTATAAAGGGCCCACCCACCAAAAGATAATTCTGAGTTTTTGGGGTCCTTCCTCTTATACTATATGATTACATTTATATGAAATTCTAGGAGAAACAAAACAAATCTAGAGATGAGAATCAGAGTGTCTAAGCATTACCCGGGGTCAAGGAACTGAGTGGGAAAGGATTCATTTTGGCTGGGAGTGGTAAAATCTAGACATATATATTCCACTGCCACCCCAGCCAAAATGAATCCATTTATTTGCTTGAAACCTGGACATCAGTATCTTTATAGCACCTCCCCACCCCTATACACTAGGTGATTCTGGTACATAGTGAGAGTTGAGAAATAATCTAAAATCTAGAGTCTAGAATCAACTAGAGGGATTTAGAAGCTCTAAATTTTGTCACCAAGAAATATTTGTCTTTAATTTTACAAATAGGAACTATAAAATATGCCCACTTGAAGTAGATTTTGTTATATAAATGTAAAATAAAAAACAAATAATACCACTTTTTTTAACAGAATAAAAGTAAAAGATTCCTATTAGCACCAAAAAAAAAAAAAATCTGTCTCTGGATAAATTTGCATGTTTGCTGGTTGAATAAGGAATACATAACTACTATGCTTCTAATTTCTTCCTCAGCCGTCAAAAAGTTCAGAGCCAAATTCAGTGTTCAGTCTAGTGATAAACATCCCAGCTGCCTGATATATCAATTTTTCTTGGGGGTAGGGTATACAAGGTAGGGTATTAAATGATCATGTTTTATACTATAAACTACCTCAAATCATTTGAGGAAAATGATGGTGTGTAATGATGATGAAAATGATGGTGTAACATTCATATGAAATGTTAGTCATTTTGAAAAAAATTAAATGTTTATCACAATAGATATAAATGCAGTGTGTGCTTCTTCTTCTTGTCAAAAAAGGTAAGATTAGGAAGGATTTTTGCTGTTGCTTGAATGAGTCGTCTGCTAAAGTAAGTCACTATTCACCCCAATGGTTGAATGATATAAAAGATATATCATTTAAAATACATATTGACAGGGAAACACTTTACTAATATTTGCTTATAAGGGTTAGACTTGAGGATCCAATGTAGAAGTATAGAATATGTTAAGAGTCCCTAATGGATCATTGCTGGCATAAGAAATTTAAGTATACTTCATTATATTCATAGGATAAAGAAAGAAATCAGATCTGAAGGCAAATGTGCTCACTGCTATTCTGTTTCTATAACTGGTGTCAGCTGTTTTGATTTCATCAGCTGGCTAGGATATTTGCTGACCCTTTCTCGTTTAACAAAACTATACAACCTTGGCCCTCAGGAGAAAAGAAAATGTCTTTATTCCCAAAGGGCATATTCTAATGTAACATTAAGTAAAAAGAAAAGAAAACAAACAAAAACCCACCTCCACCCCTCTCACCTGAGCTGCTTCACTGTTCATCAATCCACTCAGCTTCTCCTCCCTTTGCACTTTTCTCCGCATTGCACAGGACTCAGCACTTCTCTCTCTGTCGACTTCATTTCCTATTAACCTATTTTGCATCTGATTGATTTGTTTTGTTGTAGCCTTTCGTGAATCAACCTGTTAGTGTAGAGTAAGTAATAACGTAAACTGAAAACTTTTGACACTTCTTTAAAAAATGCATTATGTCCAGATTCTTGAAAATTGTAAACTTGTCAAACATTAAAAGAAGGAAATAAAGAGGAAAGCAACAAATGGATGGTTATAGAAAAAATAATAGTTGGCAAGATCCAAATCCTTCTTCACCAATAGAACAAGACCAATTCAAATTAGTGTCACTGCTATGCACTCTTTAGGAATTATCTCTTATCTGCAGATAACTTGCTTACTGAAAACAACATTTTTTACAGAAAATTGTCACATTTTAAAACTGCACATAAACTCATTATTAACCTTTGCTGGGAGTGGATCCAGTTTATCTTTGTAGTTTAAATTCTTATTAATTAAAATCTTAGTCAGTTTTCTATCATTGGAGTGAATCTAATTAATACGAAAGTATAAAAGGAGCTTGTGATGTTGCTTACTTTTTTGTGTAGGTAGTTTAACCTTTGAGCAAGATGAATAACAGTTCATGTCATCTAATACTGTGTACCAGCACCAGAGGTTAAGTTCTACAACAAGCTTGCTATCTCTAAGGTTTCTTTTTCACACCATGGAGATATCTGGGGGATGACTGACACTCAATAACCTTGAAGTAGAAACAGAAATACAAGGGCAGATCCCACAATACGGCTGGAAGATTGAAAGCTACAGTGAAGGTCCTTATATGAAGTATTTGTTCAGCAGCTTTATGTTTTACAGCAGCTGAAAGTGCCGTCACCTTTTTTCATGGGTTAAATAGGGTGCAAAAGATAGGAACAGCACAAGGGGAAATAATGGAGTAGCCAGTGCCAAAATAGAGAATGAATTACATTGGCTGGGCAAGCAGAGCCTTAATTTGCAGTCTCTCAATTTTGAACTTCAATTGCCAAGTGAGTTCACTCCTTCCCTTTAAAATATGCTGGTGTTTTGTGGTTAGGTCTAAATTGTCACAACACCATTCTTTATTCCCTCCTCCTCCAGGATCCCAGCTTATCAGAGGATGGCAAAACCACTGCCTTTGAGGAACCTGCAGATTGGAAATGTTTTCTAATCACACAGGAATTCTTTATTTCTCATGTGCAACCTCCCAAACTACTGGAAAAATTGATGTGACACCATCTTCTAAGCCACTTTACCACTGAAATCATATTAGTAATAAATGTGCATCATTCCATTAGAGTGAAACAAAGTCTCCCAAGGTTGATGCACACAGTTTTATCCAGTGAAAACATTGGCTTACCAATCACTGAAAATGTGTTCTATGTTATGAAGTATTAGATGAGATTCCCCCCAGCTTTATTAGGATATAACTGACAAAAATTGTATACATTTAAGGTGTACAACATGATGTTTTGATATATATAGACACTATGAAATGATTACCATAATCAAGTTAATTAACATATCCATCACCTTACATAGTCACCAATTTTTTGTGTGTGAAGAGAATACTTAGATCTACTCCCTTTTAGCCAATTTCAAGAATACAATACAGCTATGTGGGGTGGCTCACACCTGTAATCCCAGCACTTTGGGAGGCCAAGGTGAGAGGACTGACTAAGTCTAGGGGTTCAAGACCAGCCTGGGCAACTTGGCAAGACCTTGCCTCTACAATAAATAAAAAAACTAGCTGGGCGTGGTGGTGCATGCCTGTAGTTCCCCCTACTTGTAAGGCTGTAGTAGAAGGATCACCTGAGCCCAGCAGATCGAGGCTGCAGTGGCTGTGAGAGTGCCACTGTATTCCTGCCTGGGCGAGACAGTGAGACTCTGACTCGAAAAAAAAAAATATGTGTGTGTGTGTGTGTATATATATATATAAATAATATGGTATCATTCACTAAAGTCACCATGCTGTATATTAAGATCCCCAGAACTTATTCATCTTATAACTTAAAGTTGGACCCTTTGACTAACATCATCTCCAATTTTCCCCAATGCTTATCCCCAGGCAACTACTGTTTACTCTCTGCTTTCTATAAGTTTCTCTTTTTAAAATTCTATATATACAAGAGATTATATAGCATTTGTCCTTCTGTCTGGCTTATTTAACTTAGCATAATGTCCTCCAGATTTATCCATATTGCTGCAAATGGCAGGATTTCCTCCTTTTAATGGCTAACTAATATTCCATTGTATATATACCACGTTTTCTTATCCATTCACTTGGGGTGTTTCCAATCTTGACTATTGTGGATTATACTGAAATGAACACAGCAGTGCAGATATATCTTTGACATCCTGATTTCATTTCCCTTGGATATGTACACAGAAGTGGGATTGCTGGTAGTTCTATTTTTAGGTAAGATATTATTGAGGTTTTTAGTCCCTCCTATATGCTAGGCATTTTAGGTATAACAGTTTTTGCCCTGGGAGCTTCTGACATATAAACAAAATTCAGCATAATATACTCAGTCCTCTGTGAAGTTCCCTGGAAGAGATGATCCTTCTGGATTTGCTGTTAGTTGGCTGAATGGTTAGGTTACACTGCCATGAGCACTTCTAGCTAATAAACAAAATGATAGCCAATTTATGGGAAATTTATATTTCTAGGGAAACTTTAAAAATGGTAAGAGTGAAGTGGGATAAAGTTTAATTCTTTTTTTTTTGAGTTGGAGTCTCACTCAGTCGCCCAGACTGGAGTGCAGTGGCTGCTCCCAGCCACCGCAGCCTCACCTGCTGGGATCCGGTGATCCTTCTGTCTCAGCCTTCCAAGTAGCCAGAATTACAGGCATGCGCTACCACGCCTGGCTGATTTTTTGATTTATTGTAGAGATGAGGTCTCGCTGCCCAGGCGGGTCTCGAACCTGCGGGCTCAGGCAATCCACTCACCTCAGCCTCCCAAAGGCACGGGATTACAGGCTGAACCACCGAGCCCGGCTTAAAGTTTAATTCTTAATTGTGAACACAGTGAAATTTTTTCTCAAAGATATAAAAGTAAATATAGAAAGCACCCCAGGCATCCCACACAATTAAATAGAAGGATAGTATCCAAATGTGTGTGATTTTCAAGAAAGTAGCTACTCAAATGAGGTCATTTTTATTTCATTTTGTACTAGAACTTCACATTGTTCTACAAAATCAAGAATACTTTTGGATTCCTAAAAATTAATAAGCCAACAATGTGCTTCTAATTGAGATATGTATTTTACTTTCCTCAAATGCAGAAAGTAAACATAAAGAAAAGTTCATAGAATTATTTTGAAAATTAAAGGTCAGGAAAGAATTTTGTAAGCTGTTAAATTCAATATAAATATACTACTACCAATAATAATATATTTCAATACAAATATACTGTTACCAATAATAATATATTTACCCCTGGATTTGCTGTGAGAACCTAAGATTTAGGAATGAAGAAATAAACTTTTCCTGTCTGAAATGTAGGATGGCTTGAACATCTTAGCTTTGACCTGCAGATATTCCTCTGCCTAGGTAAAGCATTTGGGAAGGATGGGGGGCTCATTATGCCCAAGTGTCTACATTATGGATTCAGGCACTACAACAATGAGGGAGACGTTGTTTTTGAAAAGTAACTTATCCAAGGGTTGAACTGGGGCTTTCAATAATACTATTTTCCAACTTGGCTTCAACATTCATTCTCATCTGAGAATTCTAGAGCTTTAGCCTACCTCAATAAGCATTCTTACTGAAATATGGTTTCCTTCAGTGAATTTTGGATAGTAAATCCCAGTGAGTGGCATAAACGGTTTGTGGTGGTCCTGATGAGAGAGTATTCTAATTTGATTGACAGTGCTAACTCAGGAGGCCCCAGAACTACTTGCAAGTGACTTCAGCTATACATTTTATTCAAGGAAATACCCTAAAGGGCTTGTTTTTCTTTTCTTTTTTTTTCTTGAGTAGGAGTATCACTCTGTCACCCAGGCTGGAGCGCAGTGGCTCATTCACGGCCACCGCAGCCTCAATCTGCTGGGCCCAGGTGATCTTTCCGCCTCAGCATTCCAAGTAGCAGGAATTACAGACATGTGCCACCACACCTGGCTAATTTTTTGATTTACTGTAGAGATGAAGTCTCACCAAGTTGCCCAGGTTGGTCTCAAACATGTGGGCTCAGACAGTCCTCTAACCTCGGCCTCCCAAAGTGCTGGGATTATAGGCATGAGCCATCGTGCCAGGCCAAGACTTGTTTTTCAAGAAAAAAAATACCAATATCTCTACTACCTTGACACAAATTCATTTCCAATTTAACTCTAGTTAACAGTATATGGATACTTCAAGAGAAAGACTCAGTCTATAGAGAAGAGTTTATGGGGTCTAGTAAAATTCACTGTTGGGGGGAAAAAAAAAACAAACCTTTGTCTTTTGCCAAAAAATGACGTGAATTTGCTGAGATTCTAATGGTGATGTGCTACTTTGTCATACCTAACTAAAACATTTTTCTTAAAAATACTGTTTCTCTTAGCAAAAGTTTCACTTGTAATGAGCAAAATAACATGAAAAAAAAATCAAAGATTCCTATTTCCTTTGAATATGGAATCACAGAATCATTTTATTTATATCTGTATACCTTTTCTGGCTCAATGTCTTATTTTTAAATATCTTTGTCCAAAAAGTACATTCACTAGTCTGTTAAGTAACAATATATCTATATAATTATAAAGCTATAACTGCATATTAAATTGATGTATAGAAATGTTTTTAGTTGCTAATAAGGGCATTCTGTCTGTGACTAAAAAGACAGAAATTTGGAAGGAAATGTGGTTGCTATTCATTATGGAATTACTTTTACTATGGAAGTGATTTATTGTGGAAATCATCCTATACTTGCATGATTCAGGGAAACTGGGTACAGGACAGTTTATATTATCATAGTTTTCTTTTGAATATTTTTGGGTTTGGTTTTCACAGTATTACAAAATCTGTAAACTTTAAAAATTAAAATTAAAATACTTAAAGTTTAGCCACATTGGTGAACCTATTATTTTATGCTATCATTATTAAATATATTTGTGTACTTAATGTACTGGAGAAAAAAAGTTGTTAATAAATATTGATCTGCTGTGAAATATATCCCCAAATCATCTTACTGTCTATATCTCCAGGCTGATCACATTATTAACAGAAATTAACTAAGGTCTTAAGAGTGTGTATTATTCTTAAGTGTTTTCTTTTTACTCATAATCAAAATGCTCTAATCAAAAGGAAGGAATAAAATATTTTTGATGGAGGTTCATTGGAAAACAATGTTTTATGTTCTATTCTCTGTATCTAAAAATGTTTCACAACAAACATGTTTTGAATTTGATGAAACTGAAATTCTAGCAGATAATAATTAGAATTTTATATCAGAGAATATAGCTATCAGTTTTTAAAATGGCTTCTTTTATATTTCAATTAAGTTTATGAAACTAAAAAACTACAAAAAAGAAAAAAATTACTTAAATTAGTGTAGATTAAGTGGTGACTATTATTGCAAGGGAAATACTATGTCAAGGAAATGGCTCTTTGTTTTGTTGCAAGAGTGATAAAAACACAAAAGTCAATAAAACTGTTAAAATAAGTCTCAGTAATTACCAAGATCAAAATCCAGTGGCTTTTTATTAAACATGAACTTTTGTTCTGCCTTCTGCAATACGTAAATAGTGCTGACAATTGGTTTGTGAGGCACTTGCTACAATAAAATGTAATTGTATCATGAGAGAAAGGTGACAATCAGGAGATCATGAAAAAATTACATATTCTCACTGGTAGTTAATTAGCCATGCAAAACCTTCTCAAACAGATATTCTCTTCTATTAGGAATGATTACTATGCAGGCCTACAGATGTCAATACCACAGTCATTCAAATACTTCTTTTCCTACTAATTGAAGGTTGTAAAGCTCTGGTGCCAAGGTTTTGCTTCCAAAGAGCTAATTTATGACTAGAAGGATATTTTATGTCTTCAGTTGCAGCAGCTACAAAATTCAGCAAATCAGAACCATCTGTGCACTGATACTTGACTCACCATTCATCTAGCAGCCTATCAGTCACATTAGTTTGCATCCTGCATTCTTGGCTCATGAACACTTGTGATGATCCAAAGTTCACAAGAAATATTAAAAATGAATGGCATTGTGACCCTACCTTATTGAACACATATCAGGAAAAAAATGCCCTCCACACTTTTTTGGCATATGCATAGTGTCAAGCAAGAAATGGACATTCAATTGCCTGTCCAGTAATGTTGCTAATGGCAGTCTGGTTTCCTCTACCCTCTTAAGAATGTTTGAAGTCCTACCTCTCTCGTATTGTTGTAGGTTCTAATTCCTCTTTTTTGGTTTTTAAGTTGCATGAGAAAGTCTGTTTTAAGACGGCAGAATAAAACATTAAAAAATGGTGGCTCTTATTTTCTAAAGAATTATTAATATAGAGTGAAGTATCAGCATATACAAATACTAATCTAATAAATCTAAGGCTATTATCACCATCAAATTTTGGTCAAACTTGTAGCAAACATTGAGGGCAATGCCTAAAGAAAACCTTAAGAAAAGCAGCAAATGCAGGCTTTCATGAGTAACATCAGATTAGCCTTTAACCTTACCCTAGTCAGATCTCTATGACAATAGTGGTGGCTTTATTTCTTTAATAGTACACAGTAGGCTACATATCCTACTATTTTTCTCTAAGAGACAATAATATAGGTCAAAAAAACTTTCAACAAACGTTCTTGGTGCTGAGTTGGAGAAGCAGGAATTAAACATAAGGAACAAGAAACTTGGTTGTCAGATAAAACCATTTCATTTGAGAGAAAAGTTTCATCGAAGGTAATTATAGAAGCCCAGGAATCACATGACTTACCTTTTGATTGTTTGTAGTATGCACATTTACACTCAGCCCTTTAGTGGAAAATTCCAATGGTCCTAAAGGTGTTCCATCTGGGTTCAGAATTTTCTTGAGCACTTGATAGTCTGGCTTTTCATCATATGCTAAACTATGAGCACATACCAAAAATTGGGCTATTTCACCTGTGAATTATTAATTTTTTGCATGTCATTCATAATTGGCAAGAATTGTCAAGACTCCAATAATCTCAAAATTTTTCTGTTCTCCTACATACACATACACACACACACACACACACACACACACACACACATTCACACACACACTCACACAAACACACACATCCTAAAGAAACCAAAAATGAGCAATTAAATGAAAATAACTTTTTAAGTGATATTTTAAAATGACTAAAGTACTATAGATTTGACAAGATGGGACAAAATGGTAATTGAATACATCTGTGTTGGTATATTAACAATTCACTAATCTTATGAAAGGAATAAAATTTTACAACTTATAATTAGTAATTTTGATTTATGAGGTACAACTACTACAGACTACATAAGTAATACAACAGACAATACATGCTTCATACATCTTATGTTCAACTTTAAAAAATCAGTTAAAAACAAGTGTTACTTGTTATAAACTATAAACCATAAACCTCTTCAAAAAAATCATTGCAAATTCTAATTAAGGCTTTGATTTTGGGAATATAACAGTATATTTAGAAATGACCTTGAATTCCATGTTGTTAGCAATGATAGACTTTAGACTGCACAAAGCCTCCCCCAAGTTCTTTATACCTAGCTGGCCTGGTTAATTCACAGTATAATCTTTTTGATTTTAGAGTAGTTGGATGAGGGTTTGCAACTTTTATTTTCTCTCTGATATAAAGAAATATTTCCCTAGATCTACATAATAACCCCCTTCCCTCAAAGGGCTACAAACTACCAACTTTTAAATACAAGTAGAATTAGTAGCCAAAAGTTATAAACAGAGGTGCATTAAAATATATGTGTTGCATTTTTGTTTAGGTTGAGGTTCAATCTAAACCTGAGATAGAGGTATTGATTATACTATTTTAAAAATCACAGTTATCTTTAGACAGAACTTTCCCCTTCAAAAACTTATTACAGACCCAAACATAATTCCCTCTTACTTTCTTACTTAACTAATCACTTGCTTATTAATTAATTAATCATCTGCTTTTTAAGCTAGTAAAATATTAAGAATCATTTCTATCAAGAGAAAGAAACTCTTATACTCCTTGGTGGGAAAATCTGGAAATCTTCACGACTGGCAGGAATGACTTCCTAACCCTTCACTTCCCTTTCAGTCCTATTTCCATTCAAGAGCATTATTTTCCCCTATAGGGAAAAATTCCAAAAGGAATAGTCATCATCCCTTTCTCCTTATTAAAGTTAGAGGGACCATTTTACACCATATAGTCCAGAGCTGTTTTCTGGGAACATGATTCTAATGTGGTTAAAATGTGAACTCTTGGCTCTGGACCTTTTTTTCCTGGACACTATTGCACTTATACAACCTACTTTTTTTTCTAATTTATGAGATATATCAAATTCTATTATCTAGTATTCGGTCAACCAGATCTCCGTTAACTAGCAAGTGCTGCTGTTTTATCACCACATTTATAACTGATGTTTCATGGAACCCCTTGGGGGGTATTCAATTCCTAAAGGGATTATCAAAAAGGAAAAAGATTAAATTACATTCACTACTATTTTAATATAAATATGCTGATGTTCTTTGGTCCTTTGAAGATTGGTAAGCCAAGTTTAGTATATATTACAATTCTATTAACCAGAATATCCCAAATAGAGGAGAGAACTGAATATTTTAGGAACAAATCACTGTTACAAGACAATGAAAAACTCCTGGCATTCCACCAACTGATAGCAGCTGTGCTGCAAAGCCTTCACTGGACTGGGGTTTGGAAAAACTGAGAAACAAATGAGGTAGGAAAGGGAAAAAAAAATTTTTTTAATCATTATAAATTTATTATTATACACCTGAAGCTTAGACTATCGTGATGTAATACTAGTTTAAATGCTAGCCTTTCAAGAGCTCGATTTATCACGTTAAGTACACTCTCAAATTTACTAGTATATTTCCAGAACTGTAAAACAGAATACTTTGAGTAGTATGAAAGTATGATATTCTTGAATCATCTCCTTTTTAAGCTAGTGAAATATTAAGAATCATTTCTATCAAGAGATAGAAACTTTCAAAACTATAATTATTACACTTGGGTTGTGCATGCATGCTGCAAACTTCTTGGCTGTTTTATTTTATAAAATGTCTTAGTAAGAAACCTTTAGCAAATCAGTTCATTTAATTTTCATGGATGTGCTTTGACAACCACCTAATTTAAGAGAACTTTACTTAATATTAAAGTTTCAACATTTTGTGTTTTAGAAATAAAAATCTACATGTTATAAATTATAGTACAGATTCAAAAAATGGCTTGTACAGAGAAAGAAGAACCAGCTATGCCTCCTATCTAGACGTCTTGTCTGACTCTTAGCTCAAGTCTAACAATAGACGTATCACAAAATATCCACCGGCCCACAAACACTTGTCTTGTACCATCCAGGGCATCTGGACCTTCTTTTCTAATCTTACACTGAACAGTTACCTTTTGTGCAGAGAAGCGACAAGAAAAGTAAGGCAGATAATGTAAATTTAGAAAGAAATGATCTCTCTCCCTCCCTCCCTCCTTTTTCTTCTTCTTCTCTCTCTCTCTCTGTCTTCCCCCCCCCCCCTCCCCCCCCCCCCTCGTCCTTCACATTTACTAAAACATAAACTATGACTTGGTGAAAATGTCAATAAGAAGATCGGCCAAAAAGGAATATTGTCACTTGGACCAAATTACTGGCAGCTACAAAAACAAAACTTTCCTCTTTCAACCCATCTCCCCAAAATAAGAATCCCTCCTGTTTGGCTCCCTCAATCAGAAGAAAAGGGAAAGCAGAAAGGAAAGGCAGAAGACTCTTGTTCCTTTTTACTATGCAAATGAAAATTTTCTTGTCTAGTCAAAGGCTGTGAATATTAGTTTAAGATGATTTAACTCTACTTTCAGCTCTCAGATGGAAACTGATGCCATTTGATCTTAGAGGGTCAGTATACGTATCTACTTTCAGAAGTCAGCTAAAAGCTCACTTAGAGATCACTCTATGTGAAAACAAAATTCACTCGGCTTATGTCTCTGAGAAAAAGTAGGTCTGACAGCAGGCACTGGTTCTTTTCTATAAGATAATCTAATTTAATTGTTAAATTAGTGCTGAATAATATGTCAATTAAAGATTTCAAAAAGTTCTTTACAAACTTGAAGGAGAAAACCACTTGCTTATACAATATACCTCCAAATCCCAAAGTCATACGCCTTTGCTGATGACAATATTTTTGCTGGCAGTTCAGTCAACATAACCCAGGTCTAAACAGCATTCAAGTGTTTAATGATTTTTTTTTAAATTATTGATTGAAAGTAGTTTTTTCTGAGGTCAGCTGTGTCTTCTTTCAACAATATATAAAGGAACAAAAACAAAGTCTTAACTCTGGAAAGAGTTGACTGTTAAACCTGTGCGTGATTCTCAAAACAGTATTAAAAAGATACAATTGGCAGAGTTTAGAATTCACTTAAATATTTTCTTATGGGGTTCTTGTGTTCTAATGCTAAAGATGATCTAAACATTCTCTTCTCTAGCAACCTATCTGCAAACCTTGAAGAGTTTTCTTCCTACTCTGATGGGAATAGGAATGGGTGAGTTAAGCAAAAGTTTCAAAAGGTGGTGACCTGTAAATCATAAGAGAAGGTAGAAGTTATCACTTGACTTACCGCAACTGCTTCCAGAAGAAGCCCATTTAAGCACTGACTCAGGGAGCTCATCCAACAGACTAAAACAAAATAGAGTAATACACAATGAATTTGTTTTCCATCTTGTGACTAATTGTTTTGATTAAAAAACAAAACTTTAATTCTGTGTTGATAGGTCACCAAAGTGATTTTCAAGGCTTCTTTTTCACCTACTTATAATGGATGAAAGAGTAAGCAGAAGTAGGGGAAATCCCTCAATGCCATTGACAAAGTTATTGTCACACAGACCTAATATAGAGGCAAAGTTGAGATCCCTTTCCTCACCCACTGTAAGGGTCACAGCTGACACTCTTATGACAAAAGGTTAACAGGAGAAAAGCATAACAAATTTATGTAATGAAAATTTTCATGACATGGTAGCCTTCAGAAATGAAGATCCAAAGAACCAGAAAAGACTTATTTTTGTGCTTAAGTTTGATGAATAGACAACTGTGTAGAAATGTGATCAAACAAAAGGGTATGATCTAATGGTAATAAAATGAGGGAGAGGAGTAGTCCCAGCAAGACCTGTCCACATTCTTCTTGACCTGTCTATACAGCATTCACTTCTCCTGGAACAGGACCCTTTTGGAATGAAGGTTTTCAAGTAAAAAGGGAGAAAGTGACCTTTCTAGGTTTAATGGCTTGCTTTGGGAGAAAATGTTCTAGTTTCTATGATCCATCTTGGGAAAGATGAATTCTGGTTTTCTATAACTCACTTCTGGGGAGAAAAAGGGACTGGAGACAAGAGGGCAGAGAAGGTCAGAGATAGACTCTGCTTCTGAAGCCTTCTAATCTCCTTTAGTCTCAAATACTCAGTATGCCGAAATGCCATATTTTGGGGTATTGTTTCTGAGCCCCAACATTAAACAATGCAGAATTATAGTATAAAGGCTTTAACTTAAAGTTGTGTGTGCAGAAATGCCAAAGTAGAGTATTTGACATGATTTTTTTCTTGAAAACAATTAAAAATGTATATAAAAACTGTATCTAAATTTTTGGGATTTTTTTCCCTCAGGTATTTTCCATTGGAGAGAGGTGAATTACTTAATTATTTCTGTATATTGTTCTCTATTAGGCAGTATTTCATGCTGTCCCATGATTAGATAGGTTTTGGGAATGCTCAACTAGTAAGTATAATGCAAAATTCTAAAATCTGAAGAGATTCCAAAATATAAAACACTTCTGGTCCCAAGAATTTCAGGTAAAGGATAGTCAACCTGTATAAACATTCAACTAAAATTACTGATATGAGTGAGTGAATCACAGACTCAAGCCCAGGTAGAATAGCAACAATACACAAAATGATCCAATACATACTAGGTCGGGGAAAAAAAAGGCATACATGAGATATAGTGTTACAGCTGAATATGCAATCATGCCTTTATGGGGAAATTCAGTGTTACATCTCAGCAACCTGAATAAATTATGATTATGTATTATGTATTATAAGAAGTCTGAAAATGTCTATGCTTTATCTGAATTATAAACTTCATAATATGCTATTAGCTTTATTGGTCTATAGGCTTATATTATTAATCAAATCAAAATGAGTTCCCAAAATGTAAACAGAGGTTATTTTTGATTTATTAGCATTATATTTTATTATTTTACATGATACCCTATTATTATACATAAATATGAATAAATAGGTATATTCATTATAAATACCTATGACGAACATACCTATGTGCATATTGGCAAAGACTAAATCATATTAGTCTTACTAAAAATCATGTAGTCAATAGAATTAAAATGCTTTCTTTTAAAATAAAAAATAATAATTACATTATTATAATTAGGTAAACTGAGTTGAAAAATTGGATACCAAAACTGTTTATATATGCCCATTACTACGCTTTGACTTGACCCATATTTTGAAAATTATCAATGAGCATTAGTAAGGGTATATCAATCTCTACAGTAAATAACTGATTTGTTTCTAATATTGACTTATATAAATGTTTTAGTTTTGGGTAAGAAACCAAGGTGATCAAGATTCCAAGTGGAGAAATGTTTTATATGTTATAGATCAGTATTTACAAATGTACTAAAATTGCAAACTTGAGCCACTGCACCAGGCCAACGTATTTACAAATGTAATCTGTATTATTCTGAATCTACAGACTAGCCTTTCTCACTATTAAGAACTGAAGCCACACTAAACTTGAAGATTGATTTCTATAAATCAGCTACTTTCCCCCAGCTTTGTACACTTCTATTGTGATTGTCCTACTTAAAACTTAGTTGCTTTGACCAATTGTGATATCTGTGGCTAACTACTGTTGGGCATATCTTGGTGTATGATGAAAAACTGGCTATTCTGTGCTACATGCAATTGATTTTTTCTTAGGTCCAATCAGTGAGAGAACTGTAAAACAGTAACACACTCTGTTCTTAGTTTGACCTAATTCTTATGCTAGAATCTAGGTGATAACAATGAAATGTAGAATATTAAAAATGTTTATGCGGCTACAAGATTATCTCATATAAACAGCTCATATAAAAATTCCGTTTGTTTCTTCCTTAAGAAACAAAACATATTCCTAATACAGGAATAGGAGGTGAGTCGCTCTCACTTGAAAAATATAAGCCCATGTCACATTGTTGTTTTGTACAGTTAATACCAGTCATACCAAACTCAGACTTCTACATACTTGTACAATGCTAATTTGAAAATATTCTTCCTTGAAAACACTACCACCTAGAATCTAAGCTTTGGAAAACACCATCGAAAAGGCAGAACTATTTCACTTCATATTTTACATTGTAATTCAAGAAAATGTACTTTTATAAGTGCTATCTTAATGGATTTTATGTCTGTGAGTTGTTTGGCTTTAAAAAAAATATTTTTCAACTAAAGAAACTTGCTTTGGTTGTCATGTTGGGTGAATGCCAATCTTCTCTGGGTTATTAGCTCCCTTTAATGTATCCCTTCAGACCTGCTGCAGTAAATGATGAAATACTTGAAAATTCGTACTTTGTTTTAGCAGTCTGCACAGCCACAGGGTCCTTCAGGTTCTGTTCCCAGGGAAGTTTCCCACACAACCACCGCAGCATGCAGTAGCCGAGGATTTCAATGTCACTGCGTCTGGACAGGGCTACAGGAGTAAGCATTAAGAGAGAAAGATGAGGGATAAGCAAATTCTTGGGAAATGGAGAAATATTTGAGTGAACTACTATTGATGAAATAAGAAAAAGCCAAATGGGCAAAGTGTTTTGTTTGTTCAGCTGGAATAAAACTTAAACACCCAAGCATTTGGCCACAATCCACAGACAGGCAGTGACTTGTTACTGTTGAAAGTAAAGGTCAGTTTCCTCACCTCCTCCAACTTCATCTTTCCTTAGTCTGGCCTGTCACATGAACTTGATCCCCATGGCCTCTGACATGATCCAGACAACCCATAACCCGGCACCAACACTTTCTCAAAGAGCCAAGCAGTAAAACAAAGAAATAAATGTCTGCAGTTAAATTGCTAACATATGTTCCAGGAAGTCCATGGGGTCTGCATTGGTCATGCAGAGACCCTTTGAATGCAGACTAAACATTGATGGCCTTTCCTGTTCTACTCACACTAGTAGCATTTGAAGTTGGAAGAATATGACAAAACTGCCATCTAGTGTGCAGTATTAAAAAACAGGTCTGTCTTAAGATTTTTCAATTTCATGAAAACACAATAAAACTTGTCTACTGCTTTGAATACACAGTTCTAACATTTTACAAATATTATTTTTAGATAAAAGCAGCAACAAGCTAAAATTCCTGAATAGGAAATAAAAGTGAGGCAATAGTGCAGAGGGTAGGGAGAGAGGTGGTGGGGAGTAGGTTTTAAAGCCAAATAGAGACTTTCAAAATTTAATGTAAGATAGCTTTTCAAAAAAAAAGTATGAAAATAACATTTTCAGGTCCTTGTAAATTTCATTATATCAGCTATGCTAAATCCTGTAGACTAATTTCATCACAATTTCATGTTTTTAAATGCCTTATATCAAAAGATAGAGAATGAAACCTAAGAAACATGTTAAATATAACCGATACTTATGAACAAATCACTGAAATAATGATTAAAGCATTAGTAAATGTCCATAAAATAAACTCATTTTTATAGTCATTCCAAATTATTATAAAACAATAGTCTGGTATTTACATTTCTACCATTGCTTGAATATTCATCTTATTGAGAGACATAATCTCCTAAGAGCAATAAGTGGCTATTAAAGCTGCTGTAAACAGGTATCCTATTTTATTATCTTTCATTAAATAAACTCTGAAAAGTTACTCAGTGACCTTAGTTTTTAAGTTAAAAAGTCATCTCCTAAGAACAAAGCTGCCAGCACATCATACCTACTTTTGGTTAACATACATAAGTTATTATAAAAGCAGAAGACAAGATTAGTTCTTATGCTCTATCTTATCTATTAGAGTATTGGATTATTAAAGGCCTTCAATCTAGCAGAATACTATAGTCCCATGGGTGCCATTTACTTTCTGCACAAGCTTCAACAATGTTCTAATGCAACACTTGGCTCTCATATTAAAATAAAAACACAATCTCTACACCACACTGTTCTGTAGTGATTTCTTCAGCAATAAATCTCCCATTAATAATGGAATGGTTCCATTTGTACAGATGTGTTCATAAGTCCCTTTTCCATTATGGCAATTCCCGATTACCATTACTTAAAAAAATTCACATCCTCTAATTTTCAAAAAATGATTTTCTGGCACCTGTTTAGATGACATGGGCACATAAGAGGCCCTTTGAGGAAAAACAATCAGAATTAAAATAGATTGAACTGTCCTAGCCACTTCCCTCCATCCCCCAACTGAGGGATTAATTGATATGAAGCTGTAAGTAATGACAAGTCATTTAGATTTCTGAAGCCAATCTTTCATAAACTGGTCTTCATTTGAAATAGCCCTTTGAGAGTTAACTTTACTTCAATATTATAGTTTGATCTTAATTAAAATACATTCTCACATTTTTCAAACTTTTACTTATTTTCTTTTATGGCACATTTATATTAATAACTATGATTAGGCAAGCATTTTACCACCATTTACACTAAATCCTACAGAAATAAATGTAACGTTAAAAAGAACATTGGGTAATTGAGCAGGTACAGTGGCTCACACCTGTAATGCCAGCACTTCGGGAGGCTGAGGTGAAAGGATTGCATGAGCCCAGGGATTTGAGACCAACCTGGGCAATTTGGTGAGACAGTCTCTACAATAAATCAAGAAAAATTAGCTGGGCGTGGTGGCGCATGCCTGTAGTTCCAGCTACTTGGAAGGCTGAGGTGGAAAGATTGTCTGAGCCCTGTAGGTTGAGGCTGCGGTGGCCATGGGTGTGCCACTGCACTCCAGCCAGGGCAACAGAGTGAGACGCCAACTCAAAAAAAAAAAAAAAAAAAAAAGGAACACCCAGTAATTATCATTTCCCAGCATTAAAAGTGAGATAAAAGGATTTAAAATGTTTCTCAGTACATATCTCTACCTGAAATGACCTCCCAGGAAAATAAACGTGAAAAGTTTGACTTGTTTTAGTGAAGTTAACATTTTAGACTCTACCAGTGATTGTCTTCTTTCCATCTACTGTACACAGAAAAGTAATTTTAATACCTGTTAAATTAATTAAAAACAAATATTCTAGATGACAATATTAGAATCTATGTGTGCATGTATAATTTAGACAAAGAACTGATTGTAGTTGAAGTTGACTCATAATATCTAACCTATGAAAAATCTTTTGTAATTTGAAAGTTGCTTCTTTGATTATACAATTGTCAAATTCATGCTAAGTGAAGCAGTAATGGAAAGAGCCCTGGACTAGCCATGCCTGTAATCCCAACACTGTGGGAGGCAGAGTGAGAGGATTACCTGAGCTCAGGGGTTTGAGACCAGCCTGGGCAACTTGGTGGGACCTCGACTTTACAATAAATCAAAAAATTAGCTGGGCTTGATGTCATGTGACTGTAGTTCCAACTACTTGGAAGGCAGAAGGGGAAGGGGGAAGGATTGCTGAGCCCAGCAGGTCGAGGCTTCGGTGGCCATGAGTGTGAGAATCCAACTAAAAAAAAAAAAAGGAGCACTGGACCAGGAAAGAGATTCAGTTCTAGCCCTACCACTATTACATTTGCAGCTCAAAATCAGATGAAATTGGGCAATATACTTATTTTAAACATATTTTCATTCATTTGAATAGAAAATACAGAGTGTTTCTGAGTCACCTAGTTGCATAACTTATTGTAATGTGTATAGTACTTCAATTGTATTTGGTAATTAATATAATTATTGAGAGTATGTTTTATACAGATGTCCTAAAAATCAAGGTTTTACCTACTATTGCTTACAAAAGTAGTGAGATTTAGTTATTAACAAGATTTTTCCTCTAAACTTTCTCAAGTTAGTTTCTAAATATTATTTACACCTAGTTCATATTTAGCTTACTGACATGGAACAATATAAATCAATCTTTTTGGTGAAAGCCTGTGGTATTCAATTTAGAATTCTTCAACATTTCCAAATTTTAAAGTATAGCCGAGAGTAACAGCAATAAAAATATAGGCACAGGTGGGGATTTAAATTCTATTTCATGTCAAGAACAGTGACTCATGCCTGTTTCCCAGCACTGTGGGAGGTGGGTGGAGGCGAAAAGATTGCCTGAGTTCAAGGGTTCAAAACCAGCCTGGGCAACTTGGTGAGACCTCATCTCTACAATAAATCAAAAACTAGCTGGGCGTGATGGTGCATGCCTGCAGTTCCAGCTACTTGGAAGGTTGAAGTGGAAAGATCGCCTGAGCCCACTAGGTCAAGGCTGCAATGGCTGTGAGCGTGCCATTGTACTGCACTCCAGTCTGGGTGACAGAGTAAGATTTTGAATTAAAAAAAAAAAAAAATTCTATTTCACTAAAAAGAAGAGTCTGGAAGCAGCTAGTAGTAGAACGCACTATTAAAATAAAAACAATTGATGTGATTTGCATAGGGCTGCTATTGTGCCAGGCACTCTACCTGCTTTATATTATCTTAATCTTTCAAACAATATAAAGTAAGTGTTATTAACCCTATGAAAAATGAGAAAACAAAGTCTGAGGGGTTAAAGAACTTACTCAATATCACAGAGCAAAAACTGGTAGCGCTCAGCACTGAAATCCAAATCTCTCAGAAACCAAAGCATGTACTCAACATGATCCAACAGAGCATATCAATAATTTGATGGTCCTTAATACCTTATCATAATTAGAAATGGGTTCTCTTCTTTGAATTATTGTTTAAGAAGATAAATACTGTGTAAACCATATCATCTCCCCAAGTTTGGTAACATGAAAACACATTCTCAGTTTATTTCACATATACTTTGTAAGTTGGAGTGCTAGACTAGAGTGAAATGAAACTATGTAAGGAATAACACAAGACTTGAATTTTGTATGCCATAGCAATTGGCAAAAAAATTTTAAAGTATGTAATATATTTCTTTCCTTGATACTAAATAAATTACATAAACAAATGGACATTTAAAGTGCAATTTAGATATAATATTTTATAGTCATCAAAGATGTCAAATTAAGATAGGTATTATACACTCAATGCATAGGTCTGAAGTATTTAAAAAAGCTCAATATGTTAAATGCAGTATATCTCCAGAGAAATTAGATATTGACTGCATGCCTCAGTGAGTAGAAAAATCTACAAAAATCTATACCAAACATTGATCCAAATATTGCTTTTTAACATTACTAAGAATGTAACAAATTTTAAAATAGTACATTTGACACAAATATAATTATCTTTAATTATCAGGCAATAAGTCAAAAACATGTCAATGTTTATACATGCAAGTTTTTATGAAAAATAAAAATTAATAATAGAAGAAATAAACCCAACATATATTACTCTAATTTTATACTAAATGAAGCACTTTAGCCACTTAGAAAATACCTTTAGGTCACACAAGAGAAAATTGAGTTTGGAAGAAGAGCTGCAGTTTAAAAAAAATACAGATATATACACATAAGACGGTTCTAGAAATAGTTATCTATCTATCCTTTCATCCATCTGTGTATCCATCTCTATACATTTTTTTACTTGTAATAAGATAAAATAATAGCTAAAATGTTTTTTCTTTTTTCTCCTTTCAACTGTCCTCCTTATATATAAATTGAATTAGAAAATGCTTAGATGAAATGACTGGTTAACATCTTATACAAACTCCTTCATTACAAAAGCCCAATTAATCCACAGAAAAATGAGATGTAGCTTCAGTTTTTGAGCAACCACTATAAAAAGCAGAGGTCAGATATTCTGATCAGGTTAACAGTTCCTACTCAGTGGTCAACTCATAAATCAGTTTTACATCAAAGCCTGAATATTTCCCTTGGCCTGACCAAACATAGATCTACTTGACACTTAGCAAATGCTTTGGCAACTAGAAGTTCTACATCTTAGTAATTTTTTTTCTTTTTCTTTCTATGTTTTCTTTTACATTATCTTTCTTCTATATTTATTTGATCTCATAGCTGGGCTGGTACAGAAGAGATATTTCTGAGATTAAACTACATAGTGACTGTACTAAAAGTACACATATGAATATTTACGAATCTGACTAGAATTTACCTATAGGCTTTATTTCACTGTTTATTATGGTTTCTCGATATGGCAAAATGATTATTTCATTTCTAATAAAATCCTAAATTAAAATGCTTTATTTTGGAAAATTAAATGCAAGATATTGGGAATGAACAGTATTCAAACATCTGAGAATATCAAACCTTCTATTTTATATTCCAGACTAAGCCTGCACATTAAAATGTCAGCAAATATACACATATATGTGTGTATATCTATGTATGTGTGCACATATATGTACATATATGTACATATTTATATCTGTATCTACATACAGATATCAATATGCCTAGAAGTTTAGTGTAAATCCTAGTTAAAATGTATTCAGGAACTCTACCATTTTATAGGAATCCTGTGAAAACTTTGATAAAAATGAATATTCATTCTAGCATATAACTTTTCAGTAAATCTCCAAAATATTTAATGTAGTTTCTTCTCTGAATATTCTTCCCAGAGATGTTTCATTTTTCTATGATCATCCTCAGTTCAGTTTTTTCCTCAAAGACCTAGTGTGGTGAAATTTTACCAACATGTTCAACACGTATTATGATTTAGGGGAAAAAGATTTAAGTAGACTACAAAATAAAAATGTGTTCAGATCTCTCATGAAGCTGGCACAATAAAAACACGACCTAAAACTACAAAATTAACTGAAGAAGACTTTCAGAATTACCATAGTCCAAACACTGGCCAGACCAGCACATAACAACTCTCTACCTCCCCTTCTATGGCCATAGCAGTTTCTTAGCTATTTTACTACTCAAAACCAGATCAAAGTAGTATTGGAGCTATCAGTCAAAATACATGTTCCAACCATAAGTTGGTATCATTATTAATTTCGAATAGCTTAAGAATCTATATGCTGAATTTCTAGTTATACTGCTATCTAAAAAGTGCTTTATGGTTTCTGAAAATTCTGTTAGGTATAACAGAATAAATCTGGAAAAGGTAAAGAATGAAATTCACTGATAGTGAAATAACTTTGGATTGAAAAAAACACTATCAATGAGTATTTAATTCTTGCGTTTCTTGAGCATTTAATTCTTAATTAAAGAAGTAGCTCAACTTTTATCTCATTTTATTTTTAAAAGCTCACTGATTATGAACAATGTGAATGGTAAAGAATTATATAACACTAAAAATTTCTAAGTGATTACTACTTTTATAACCAAACTATACTTGAAAAAAAAGTAGTGATTTCTTTTATTCTAAACAGGAATATAAAAGTTACTTTCCGTTTCAGAAAATATAGCCTATGATAGTTTCTCAGAGGAAGAAGGTATATAACCAACACTCATTTCACTTTTTCATTGGCCTACCTTAAGCTAGTGTGGGTTCTAATTGCGCTGGAAAATGATCAAGACCCTCTACATTACATGGTCAATGGTCCTTTTAATAGGAAAGGCAATAATATACAGTTGTTTTCACCAACTGAAACTCGTTAGAAAGTACCAGCTTAGGGTAACAGTTTAACAACTATTAACAAATACAAATGTCTAATTGTCTTTTAATGAAAATGTAGTTCTTTCAAGGCTGTTTAAAAATTATTTGGCTTAGTATATTTGAAAATACTTTTATAAACAAAGTTTACAAAGAATGTAATTTTGAAAGCCAAAGTTTTTCAATAATCACCATTTTTTTACTAGCATAACATTAGAATTGACTTTTTGTCTTGCTGACAGAGCAACTAAGAAAGTACAGTTGCATTGACCATATTGATTGTGAACAAGCAACCATCAGTGGGACTCTGCACCATATATTTTCAATATTGACCTCCTACTTCCTTTTCCATGGCTTTCTGGGTCGGCTATTGGATTTGGACTGCAGTGTAATAAACAGCTAAGGTTTAATTAATGGTAAATGAATACAAGACATAGGTTATGACTTTAACTAATTAGGGAATTGTTGAATTAAGTCTGCCTTGGAATGCAAGGCAGTACAATCAATATCCAATAAAAGGACTATGTATGTAATTTACCTGCAAATGTGTTTCCAATACCATCAAAGTGAGTTTAAATAAGTAAGATATATGAAAGGTGACTAGGAGAGATTTCCACAAGTTAACACTTTATAGTTTCAGAAAAGATACCTTAATGTTAAGAGATGATAACTTCAAAAGTTGTGATAAGAGTACAATGGAAAAACAAAATAATTGTTCACGTATGCACCTGCACCAAATCTGCAACATTTACTACAGCATAAAAATTCAATGCTGACCTCCAAGTTTAACCTATACAAACTAGTGGTATTATGGCCAAAACGAGCATCAAGTTTGCTTACTTCACACCCTTTTGCTCCTTCATTCACTTGCCATAGTCTATATCCTCTTCCACTATTAGAAGAAATATTCATTGGTAACAGGAATTCACTACTTTTGATAAAATATTCACCAGTGTTCTCACTCTTCAAACTGACAATGCAAAGGTCATTTCATGCAGACTTATTACCCCTGACTCTACTTATTCTTCTGAAATAAAAATAAGGAAAAGAAAAAAGAAACCCACCTACTCCCTTGTGGGCATCCAAGCTGGTAAACTCTATTGTCCCATTATGGCCTCTTCTAGGATTTTCCTGATACTGTTTGTGGTTCCCATTGGGACAATATCTGTAGCAAAGTCCATAATCTGCAAGATAAACCTGGAAGACATGAACAGACAAATGAATAATGCCTTTGTCCTCTGAAAATGTAACCTTTATAATTAAGTCTTAAGAAACAGATAGATTAAGAACAGCCTCAGATCTCCATTTTATGAAGCCAAATGGTGCCTTAGAATAAAATATATACAACTGGGGACCATAACAACTCACATTTCAATCTAAATCCTTATTTCATCATTGGCATATCTTATTTCTGAGTTGACTTAGATTTTTAATCTTTTTATTTTGCTCCTAAATTCCCTTTCCTCCAGGTGGGCAACTAGACACCATAAACCACAATATGTCTTTTAATCTGAAGTCACACAGTTTATAAGTCTCTACCTTTTCTTGTAACCCCTTCCTGAAACATACAACTGTTTCAAGCAGGAAGGGGAAATGAGAGGAAACATTCTAAAATTACACAGATGACCACTGAACAACTAGGGTTTGAACTGTGCTTGTCCAGTTATATGCAGATTTTCTTCTACCTCTGCCACCCCAAGACTGTAAGACCAACACCTCCCTCTACCTTCTTCTCCTCCACAGCTTACTCAATGTGAAGATGATGAGGAGGAAGACCTTTATAATGATCCACTTCCACCTAATAAAGACATTTTCACTTCCTTATGATTTTTATAAAATTTTACTTTCTTTAGTTTTATTGTAAGAATATGGTTTATAATACATAACTATAAAATATGTATTAATCAGCTGTTTATGTTACTGGTAAGGTTTCTAGTCAACAGCAGACTATTACTAAAGTTTTTAAGGAATCAAAAATTATATGCAAATTTTCGACCATGTAGGGAACAGACATTGGTTGGCACTATAACCCTGGCATTGTTCAAGGGTCAACGGTAAAACAAATATCATAAGAGTCTTCATTAACAAGAAACATAAAAATGATGAGCAGACTGTAAGAAGTAATGACTCAAAAAAAGAAAAAAAACACTATCATGTTGTTAAAAACAAAACATCCACGCAGGACTTATGGCCTTAAAGACCTATCTATATCATCACTACTATGCTTGTAAGTCAGACCGAATTGCAAGCAGCATCTCTAAACAGAATATAGATTGTTAAAAGTCAGATTGCAATTCAAGTGAATTTACCTCAGATTACTTCTGGAGAGAGAAGGAAGGGGGAGAAGTAGTTTTACAGATATAGCATACATTGAATAGAGAACACTGTTGTGACTAGACAATTATTGTGACAGGTAGTTAGAAAATAGTAGTTCCCAACTGTATGTTACCATGCCACCCCCGCCCCCCAAAAGAAAGCAGCTTCAACTTTTAAAATGTATTGTTTCATATATTTCATTAAAATTAAAGGATTTGGGTACTGCTTCATAATACAGTTTCAAGACAATAGAGTGTTGCAATATTACCTGTACTTTATACTATCTATTAAAAGAAAATAGCATATGAATTTTAGTTCCTTTAAATTTTTGGTTTTAGGATAGCCTGAGTAGGAGATATTTTAAACTTTAAAATGTAAACATCACCGTTTTCTTCATTTGTTGGAGTAACTTGCTAGACTGTCTGAAAACAAATATTTCAGCTTGTCTCTTTCCCACAGATGCTGTTTCTCATCATGGCCTAAGAAGTAACTGATCTCTCTGTCCTAAGTAAACTTGGCACTTCAGGAAGATACAGAATCAGTTGCTTGCTTTCACTGTTTCTGATGCATTTTTGTCTTTATTTCAAGACCTAAATAGACTTCACATTGCCAAGTGGACTATCCCTAAAATGTACATATTGATAATTCAACAAATGGAATTTTATTTCACTACACTAGAGTAGTTTACTATTTTAAAAAAGAGCTACCAAGGAGCTTTTTATTTAGTCATTAACACACCAAAAAAGGCTAGATTCTATGGCATGCCTACTATGTACCAGACAGTATGCTAAGTGCCTTATTTTCATTGATTCACTGTCACAGAAATCCTATAGGTAGGTATCATTATCTCCATTTAATTCATATAGAAACTGAAGCTTAGTGAAGTTATGTGGCTTGTGTAATAAAACAAAGTCAGGATTCTATGGCAGTTCTAACTCTAGAGCCTTCACTCTTAATCACTGTCAAAGGGCAATTGTACCAGACAATTTAAACAGATAAGGAAGACTTCCTTGAAGACTTACTGCAATAGATGAGAGAGTCTGAACTCAACACCACTGAAACAAAAGGCCAAAAAGTTTTTAAGCACTGGGGTGAACTAGTTGAAAAGTATTAAAGAATGTTAAGTTGAGGTTGGTCAATGTGATTAAGCCATCTATGGTTGCTAATGGTACTCAGGCTCCTACCTTCCACAAAAGCTACTATTCCATAAAGGGATGAGTCCCAATCCTGGGTATAAAATTGGCAAGGAGCTGGGAGATTTACATCTAAAAGGATCAGAGAAAGATTTTACAATTTCAAATTTTCTTAAGTATACGCTGTAAAAGGGAAGTCAAATGCCTGCAGTCAGGCAGAACCTGTCAAAAGTTTAGTCAAGCTGAGGGTAACAGTAAGGCTGTCTTAGTCATCATTGAGCTACAAATCTCAAGGTGGTGCTAGCCTGCTCAAACTTTGAAGGGCAGTATAAGGTTTGCATTTAATATAAAGACAAAAAGTTAACAATGCATTAAAAAAAACACATTAACTGTTTGCTGACAATTTTAGTCAATGAATATTTCAGACCTACAAGTGATTTAAAATATGCATGGTTGCAATCTCGAGCAGCATATACTCTAAGAAAGAAAGCTCTCAAGCAACAACATTAGCTGTTATCCAACCAACCAGGGTGCTCTGAGTGGTCCTAATAGAGTTATAGGCAAGATTCAATTAATCATGAACAAAATAGTAAAGTTAAGATTTGAACAAAATAGTAAAGGTAAGATTTCTTTAGAAAAATGAACTAAGCCGGGCTCGGTGGCTCAGCCTGTAATCCCGCGCTTTGGGAGGCTGACTTGAGTGGATTGCCTGAGGCCACGGGTTCGAGACCCACCTGGGCAACTTGGTGAGACCTCATCTCTACAATAAAAAAAAAAAAGGAAAAGAAAAATGAACAACTATCCATCCCACTCCCAATTCCATACATCTTTCCCCCCACATTTTGGATCTTTATCTACTAGTTTAGCATATGCTTCAGAGAGAATTTTATTTTATTAGATTAGAGAATATAGTTTATTTAAAAGTAAATTAGAGAGAGAGAAAGAGAAGATTCACCTCCCCAAGGTAGGGGAGAGCAGAGAGAATTTCAGAGAAGTATTTTTCTAGAAAAAATATTTTTAAAAAGAGTATTTTTCCTAGAATTCTCAAAATTCTCATGACAATCTTGCCACCAGGATATATCAATATATTTTAAAAAACAGATTATGGACCGGGCTTGGTGGCTCAGCCTGTAATCCCGCGCCTTTGGGAGGCTGAGGTGAGTGGATTGCCTGAGCCTGCGGGTTCGAGACCCTCCTGGGCAACTTGGCGAGACCTCATCTCTACAACAAATCAAAAAATCAGCCGGGCGTGGTAGCACATGCCTGTAATTCCGGATACTTGGAAGGCTGAGGCGGAAGGATCGCCGGAGCCCAGCAGGTCGAGGCTGCGGTGGCCGGGAGCAGCCACTGCACTCCAGTCTGGGAGACGGAGTGAGACTCCAACTCAAAAAAAACCAAAAAAACAAAAAACAGATTATTGGGCACTACTAAAGAGATCTAGAAGTAACTGCCTTTGGTGAACAGAGATTTTATATATAAGAAGAAGTAAAGTCAATTATCTGTCCCAAGTAATCAAAATATTGACAAATTAATTTGACTTGGGTCTCAGAAAACAATATCCCAATATATGGCACATTGACATTCTGAGTGCTTAGAATTAAATAAAATAGAAAGGACTCAGAAATAAGCCTCAGGGCCCAGGTCGCTCTCTGACTTTCCCCTGATTCCTGTCTCTCAGATCCCTTTCTTTCCTGAAGGACCACAGGGAGCTTTCTCTGAAGTTCCCTTACCTGTTTTTTATTTATTTATTTATTTATATTTTTATTTTTAAAGATGTGGGGTACAACTCAGGGTTAGGTATACAAATGTCAATTATGCGGTTACCCTTGTTGATGAGGTGTGCTCCTCCCTCCCCTAGCAGTGATCTCCCTTATATGTTTAAGGGAAGTTCTACCAGAAGAAATGCAATTGTCTTAAAACTTTTTCCCTAGGAATCTTATCAAATAACCAGGAAAGATTAATCACTGGAGCAGAGAAAAGACTAAAAGCCATTACCACACCCAAACAAACTTTTCATCTATTCTTCTGAGGGCAGCTCCAAGAGATTAGCTAGAAGACTTTATCTGTGTAATAAGACAACTTTTGTTCATAGTAAAGTTCCACTCCTCACCTTCCCACAATTTGTTTCAACCTAGAGCTCAGAGGAACTTTGACCCAGGCCAACTGTCAGTTTTTAGGCTCGTTCATGTCCCCTAAAAATCTTTCTCTTGCTGTGCATGGTGGTTTACGTCTGTAATCCCAGCACTTTGGGAGGCAGAGGCAAGAGAATTGCCTGAGTCCAGAGGTTCATGATCAGCCTGGGCAACTTGGTGAGACCTCATTGTAGAATAAATCAAAAAATTAGCCAGGCATGGTGGCGCACACCTGTGGTTCCAGCTACTAGAAAGCCTAAGGCAGAAGAATCGCCTGAGGTCAGTAGATTGAGACTGTGGTGGCCTGGCCATAAGCAGGTCTCTGCACTCCAACCTGGGTGACAGAGTAAGACTTCAACTAAAAAAAAATTTCCTTATAAAATTGGCTATAGCTCTCCACTTCTATCCCATAAGAAGAGAGTATTTGGGTCTCAACCATTTGGCCCTTCTTTGAGTCTCATATTTTCAGGACTCTGGTATCCATGTACAGATTAATAAATATGTACACCTTCTCCCCCCACCCCACCCCCTACTCTGTTTTATTGTCAGTTTATTTCAGAGAACTTTCAGAAAAGGCAGAAGGGAAATTTTCCCTCTAACCCATCAGACTCAAATT